GACAGTGATAAATGTTGGATATTTTATTTACAACTTCAGTTAAGTACGAGGGGGCAATACCCTCAAAATTAATGTGAAAATCATTGCTGGATGGACATCCATCTCAGCGTTCCAAAATTTCACGAAGAGGGGAGTCGTATCGTCTGTCCAATAATTATTCTTCCAGCACATTTTTGCACTGTTTCAAGTTTTCTGTGTGCTTTATGTATTGCTCCGACATTTTGAATGATCGCAAAGGGACATAAGGTGTGATTTGTCATACCTAGCTCTTTCTGTATTAATACTTCCACTTTTCTACTTCTTGCTTATTCCATTTTAATTTTTTCATTGATGATAATTTCAATCATTTCATTTTGCTGGCTCTTTATAATGGCTCATCATTTACTTACGCGTTGATGCCTGTAATTCTATCAAGCTTACTTTTAGACCCTATGATCATCAGCTCTGTTTCGTCATAGTTCGTAACCAGGCAATTTGCATTTAGCCACTGTCGAGATCTCAACAAGTGCATGCGACAGGTTTTGTTCTAAGTCTGTACTAGTTTTACCGGTAACTGTCACTGTAGTTTTTTTCAGGAAACATGTCCACGATACCTGTGATGACCGATGATGGCATAAAATTCACATAAATCGAAATAACAGTGGGTCACTTAAAATTGGGTATTCAAGTTTAGTATAAAACAAAAAAAACTGATTCAAAAGATGAAGACGTACTGCGATCGAACCTAATTTATTCAGGAGCTAAAGGCATATTCAGAGTATAATTCTGGTGCAAGATACACCAAGATAACCATTTCATACCTTATGATACTCTTAAATACCCATTCTTGAACTGGGCGTTCATAACTCCAAACCCCCTGAAAGGCAATTATGAGCTATGAATAGATCTATAATTATTATGGCAACAACAGTTATTCAAGCAAGAACAGCTAGAGTCAATAAACCTTTGTCCTGCTTCATTTCACTACAGCTTTCCTCGCTATTTCTACAGCCAACGCACATACATGCAATGCATGACTCGGTACACTCTTACATTGTTCGCTTTACTTGCACTTTCCCAGCTTTGCCTTGAGTTTAGGTTTAATGTGAAGTGTCAACAAATTTACTCACCTGTCTCCGTGCCCACTGAAGTGCATGCACCTTGAGCAACCACTGGACATTTTTTTTCATGAGATAACACTGTGCCTTAAGAGGAAATTTCTATGCTTCAGAGAAAACTATAAGCAAGCTCAAACTTATAGCTGTTTATCAAAAAAGTTGCTGAAAACCTGGCTTTATCAATACTATAGCAAGATCTCCATTTAAGAAAAGCTTCCGACAAAACCACAACAGGCCTAGTGCCTGAAAAACAGCTTGGATGTGTCAATGGCTTTCGATGCGCAATCCCGATGATGATGGAGATACAAACATCATGGCTCGATATTCTTCATTAACGTTTGATGAGCTGCAGCAGCAGGTAAAACACTCAATGTAATTCCCTAGTGAGCCACTGGAGATCCGACCTGGAAGTAATCAAGACAATGTCAACCTAAAGATGAACCATTGCCCGTATGGCTCAGTTTACCGTTTTTAAAGCCAAACTAAAGAACTGTTCGATCTTAAATAACGTTCTTTCACTTTGCTGAGTGCACACAGGTCTATCAGTTGACATTCTAAACATAGGACAACTGCTTATAGCAGCTATGTTGCATGATAGGGTAGAATATCTAATGAATCACACAAACAGGTGCATGAGAAGACAAGCATGTACAAGTAATGGCAGGTGCATCACACCATGGTGGAAGGAAAAGACAACTAAAGTCACCTCTCAATTTCACTTACGTGTCTGTAATATCAGGGTTCTTTTTAACAATTGTCATTTTTTCCTGATTTTACTTAAGCTCCAGCTAAGTTGGAGATGAATTAATTAACTGAGAAAACATTTTAAAAGAATTAGGCTACTGACTCCTTGTGTGATATTTTACAAAATTGTTGGCTTTCCATCAAAACAATCAAACATGCAAGCAGCACTCACACTTCTCCAGGCAGTGAAGTCGCTCTTCTGCCAAAACTCCAAGAGGGAGTATGGATTTTATTTTGAAACATGACAACGTTAAATGTATACGTCGTTCCAGCGGCAAACTAATACAACAGACAAAATGTGCTGGGAGCATTGGCGACACAATATCTAGTATCACAAGCAAGGTTTCGCCCTTTGAATTAAAATGATGTACTGATCCATTCTGCATTCGCTGGGGAATATGAGTGCCTGGGAATTCGACAAGCCTGACAGTGTGCTTCATTTTTATAAAAAAGAGATTAATAAAGTAGGCCTATACCACGTACACATATACGGGAATCCATATATCCCCAAAATTTAATCATACGGCTTGCATCCTCACAACTTCAGAGTTTTGAATGCAGAATTACCTTTGTGCTGTACTCTTCACCAACTCCTTCTGTGCGCGCAATACTCAAAGAACCGCCTATAACAATAACATCACGCAGACAGCACGCTCGCTGTCGCTGTCAGTAGCGATTAAGTGTGATCAACCGCTGATGTTTAAGGCGCTCTTGAAGCGTAATCTAAAAACTGCACGTGCTAAGTCAACCCACTGCCTAGTTGACTGAATGCACTTATCACAAGACAAATAAAGATTCGAAAATGTAGTGTGGAAAGACCTGGGCCTTCCTTTAGAACGGACACTAAAAACGGAACTAAGCGACCAACTTCTGCGAACCAGTGCAGAAGCTAATTATGACTTCTTTTTTTTAAACAAGGTTAGTTTGTGTACGTTTTCAATATGGGCGTTTCACAATAGTGCGCCTCCAGGAGTTTGCAACGCGTTGACCAATCACAGTGCGCGAAATCTTTCGACCCAATGCGCGTTTGGAAAGGATCGACAGATTTCGAGCACTGTGATTGGTCAACTCTTTGCAAACTCTTGGAGGCGCACTATTGTGAATCGCCCGTATTCGTTATCCTATCGTCTGCAGTCAAGCGTTTTGAAGACCTACTCCTCAAAACATCCATCAAATGACTTCTATACAACACGGAAGACCCCGGCTTGCGAAAAGTGAACTCTGAGTGTCTGGAGTCGGACTGGGAATTGCAGGTGACAAATAAGAACTCGGCTAAATTTGGTCGTCGTTCCCCGTCGTCGGCGGCGCAGATCAGATCAATGAATACAAGCTAATGCACAAACCGGACTCTAGGTGTTACACCCATTGGGTAACTCCCAAGTGACGGTTGACCTAATTTTGTGTGACGTTTAGCTAGACCAGTAAGTATACCTAAAAGCTTTCTTATGATTATCATTCACTTACCACTATGACAGGAAGAACATCGTGGGTGCAATGCACTAATTTATTTATGTCTCAAGAACAGGACACTTCAAAAAGATCTTATAGATCTTATTGCATTTTAAAAGAAGTTTTTAAGTAACTATTTTTAGAATAGAAATAAACCACTTCGATTCGACCCTAAAACTCAATCCACTGGACAAATCAACCGCTCCATCTCTCATCAGTTGAACTACCAGGTTGCATTACTACGTTGTTCAATTTTTGTATATTAAATTAGTGAGCTTCCCCAAGGACTCATAAAATCATAGAGCGGAATTTTCTCTTAACATTCCGAGACCTTTGTATCCTCAGAGAGCTGCTCTGGTGACTCCTGTATACTCTAGGTGAACATGTTCTCATTGGGTTTGGATACTCGTAAACCAAGAAAAAAAGGTTTCAATTACTGTATCGAAGATCTTCAGTTTGTAATGCACTACAATCAAACAGTTCTTCGGTCAAGGCAAAACGCAACACAAGTCTCCAATCCAGCATCGTCGACTAAAGACATGTTAATCCTTGGAAACACGAACAAGACCTCGAGGAAGACACGACAACTTTGCTGTGTCATTACGGGATGGTTCACTTGTTACTTTGTTACATATTAACTGCGAAAATGACTGTTTTGATCAAAAATAAAGAACGACAGAAACCAACTTCGTACTAATCATTGTTTGACATTTTCCCGAAGCCGAATATACCCTCCGCCTACATCAAAAATATAAAGAAAGCACTCAAAATATGAGGAACGTAGATTTAGACGGCCCTAGACTTCGCTCTACACGGACACCTACTCATTTCTAATTTAAAACAACAGGAATGCAAAGCAGACAGTGTGTGAAATGATTACTCTTTCCTTGCCTGTTGGCTGAAAAAAAAAATCTTGAACATGTTCTTTAACAAGCCTCTCGGTGTAATGCAGCTTGTAAAAGGCATCTAACAAAATGTCAGGATCAGCGAAAATTTGAAATTCATGTGAACATTAAAGAACTACCAGAGAGAAAGGTCATTCATATAAGCTAGACGTCTCCAACCCAAATGTTATTGCCCAAATGTCAGGATTTTTTCGAGAAATAATAAACATTTTCCGAGAGATGTATGAGCCAGTATAATTTCCTTGATTTATTCTGATGTTTTGTCATTGACCTGAGACGTTGAATTACTTCATTACAGTGTTGTCAGTGACCTCTTCCAAAAAAAAAAAACAGTTAAGTTTGACCAATGCAAGACATTTCCACCACATTTTTTCATTATCCATCACAAGCAAATAGATGTTTCGCATAGAAATTTTCAGTAAATATTTACCAGTTGTTTATTACGGTACAGACTGGCAGTCGATTATGCTGATTAACACTATAGGAAAATAATCCAAAGACGGGGAGTACTTTAGAGAGAATGTCAGCATGCAGGGAATGCACTGCCAAGATAATGCTCTGTGTCATGAAATATTCATGCATTTTCCCACGCGCTGCTCTACAGTTCCTTTAAAGAGAAATCTACATTTCCAGAAGACTGCTGGAATGGATTAGAAGAATTTTTGAGTAGGCCTATTTGAGTAGTTATAACACAAAACAAACTGTGACAGAGTAGAACACCTGTAACCGTCTTTTCCGATTAGAGCATTATCTCATTTCATATTTGCAAGTTAATTTCAGTTTTATGAAATGCAGATTGACTCACCGTTTTCCCTGCGAGAAAGCCAACAACCACTATCGTAAGAGGCAACGCCGAGCGTCTGACCAGATTCATACTGGAGGACTCTTCACTTCAACCCGACCGTGAACAAGCCACTTGTCACGTAACGTGATAGCAGTCAAGACTTCCACGCCGTCAAGGTCCACAGCTGAAAGCTGAAATCTTCAGTTGGCCTACTATAGTTTAGCGAACGGTAGATTGGACAAAAACTGCAGGCTGATGAGCGGACTAAGTCGTCGCTCATTCACGATGAGAGTATTGTCGAAGACTGCAATCTGTAATTGGTCGCTCCACAGTATGTATGCGACGGCTCGAATACAGTACAACGTCAAAGATTCTGGAGTTGTTACTGCTCCCTCTCAAAAACAAAAGCTTTGATGCCTGCTGTCAAGAAGACCAATTGAATTTCAACAGATGTCTCTTCTGATGTCACAAATGAAATACTCTCTAGAGAACGTACCAAGATTGGAGCCTACAACATGGACATACTTGAAGTTCCAATACAGTCACTCACATCGTACTTGTTGCGTACAGGTGCACACCAGATTTACCTCCACTTGCAGAAAAATAATAACTTTCAGCGTGTTTCGTCAAACATATGCACAGATATGTCGATCAACCATTTCATTCGTGTTCAGATCATAGGGTAAGAATCAATCCGGCAATGCAGCTTACCCAAAGCCTGCATGATGCAAACTTCTCCCCTTTCAAATGCGAACAGGTGTATTTTTGTCCAGGAAGCGGTGAAATCTAAAGAGCGACTCCCTCTGCATTTGGTTTAAAGGCCACTGGGCTACGCTCGACGCACCACAAGATCAGGAGTGGAAGCGCTGGACTTTGTCGACGTTGTCACAGGTGCAACCACACACCAATGATTGGTGCATGGAGTGACCCACGGGCAAATGCACTGGAGATGTCGAAGTTCCCTCCACAACAGCCCATGGGCACAATCCGCTCTATCGTCTTTGCGCAAGCTGATTAGACTCTCCTCCAGGCGTTATTTGGTCAACGACAGGCAGTCCCCCGTGTTGAAGCACCGCGGTCGTCGGCAGCACGGGGGGGGGGGGGTCAGGGATGGTTGTGATACCAATGCGTGGTGTCTCAGCTCAGGCCATGCATAGAATGTCTTCATAACATTTCGATCTATAAAAGTAAGAGAGAAACACAAACCTCTGATAATCGAAAAATATTTCAGCATGGCGATATATAGTATTGCTAAGAATCAGATCTGTTTTGTACACTAGGCACCTAGCTGCGCCGCAACGCTGTGGCTTGATATACCTCCAGGAGTTTCAATTGTAGCTAGAATTCCTGTTACATTCACTAGTTCGGCTATTACACAGCTGCAGCTATGAATGGGCCGTGCACTTACGTAGAATAAAGGTGACGAGAGGTTAAGAAAGAAAAATACTTTTCACGAACTGTGGGAAACATCAACAACAGAATTGGAGTGATGCTGCGTAATCTGAAGGGCAGCCACGTGCGGGGAGTTGCTATTGGTCGAGGGTTAACTCACGGCATGACTGGCGGCCAGTCTTGCGCGGTGAAAGATCGTGGTTTCGTGGGGCTGAATTGCATTTAACGAGAGCTTCCACTGGCTGTTTTGTCGCCTTTACGGAAATATATGCGCCTGAGCGCGTGTGCGGATGCTGAAAGACAAACCGTACAGTTGCAGTTCTGATTGCATAGTTGAAGAGTGATCACGTTACCTGTTTGATTAAAGAATCTTGGCGCAGGCTTGTAATTATGTCACTACACATTCATTCGTTCAGTGCATACTCTTTTTCCTCAAGCTCATTTTAAAGGTTACCTTGTTAATTTTTCTTGAGACAGAATGCAAGACTACACCGAATCAGATTTTGAAATCTGTCAGATTTGTGAGTCTGCCTGTTACAATCCAGTATAGCTAAATTGGAGCCAATTGAAATTACTCTCATTTATTTGGTTTCATTTCACAAAACATCTCTCCTGCCTTTATCTGTCGCCCACTGTGCTAACAATAATGTACTCCCAGTCAATCTTCTATCATTGGATGGTCTCCGAGCAAACCCCCCCCCGCAAAAAACGCAACGCCAATGAAACAATGTTAATCGATTGACAGCACAGTCCGCAAGTCTTGTGCTGACCTTGTTTCCATGTCAAACTAGTTTTTTTTAAGTCATGCTTTTTCTTTCTGGGTCTCCCCCTTATTTCTTTTTTTTTCTAACAGGTTGCTGTTCACAATGTATTATTCAAAAAAAAAATTCCATAGTATTTTCTTTTCTAGGTATCAAACCAATTGACTATTGACCGCAACGGCATCGTTACAAATATACCGTCTGATGCACGGCCATCTTGAGGAGATCCCAGTGTATTCTATTTTCTCGTCTAATCCCGTTATTTCTCACAGCTAAAAATATAGCCAAAGGCAGAGAAGCAGGAAGAGGCACCACGTACACTGTCACTGAAATTGGGAAGGATGTTGCTCAAATATTCTAACCCAGTTTACTCTATTCTGCCAGATGGCTGACACGATTCTTTTATATTGATGTTAGAAAAAAGTAAGGACATATTGTTGTAATACCTTGAATGGAAAACATTTTCATTAGTGCAAAGGCAACAAATATAGATTGCCTGGGTAGAGAAGAGCTTAGAGTGTGTTTCAGCGGAAAAATTAATTAAAACTTGAAGTCGCTAGGAAAAATCAATGATTCATTAATCCATTCGCACACTTTTTTAATTTTTGGCTCACTGAATGTTTAAGTAATTTTGATGAAGCGGAAAAGCACATCCTACGTATATCGTTCTTTGACGCCGTTTGACGTGGACTGTAACATGAGACTAGGTAAACAGACGTGTGTCCAATACTTCATATAAATACACAGCCGAAATACCCCGTTATATGAATATCCCGTGTTAAATCGCACCTGGTTGACCCTTTTGGAAACACATGGCCTAGATATGACAAAGTACAGATAAAATGCACAGTCTCCAACGACTATGTCGGATTTTTTCTCTCAAACTGCGGGTAAGATACTCTTAACCAACTTAATCCCAAAAAATCGACGTACCAGGCAATATAGAATCAATCTTACTTCTCATAATTCGAAATACCATAGTATTCCAGATTCTCATTGCACCATATGATCTGCACAGTAGAAGTTTTTAACGATGGAAATGGTACCTGTGTGCGTTATGCACGCACAATTTTGAATCAGGTTTTGAGCAATACGCGACGATTACTGGCTACTGTAGTAACAAAAATATCAACAGGTTTAATGTTGTTAGATAAATACTCATTAACCCCAGTTTAGACAGGGGTATCTGAAATGAAATCAATCTGTCAAATTAATTGCATTCACGGGGTTAAGCGATGTTTCAGTGAATGCCATTACAAATTCAGAAATGCTAACGCAACTCGTTAACGCGTGAACGAAATTATTGATTAACGATTCGCCCGAATATAACACCTTTTAAAACGCCAGTGAGTTGATGATACGGGATGATAAATATATTCATGCTCCTTTTACGGTCACAAATGCAATAACCTGAAACTTTGTTCGTTTGGAACAAGCTATTAGATATTTACATAGAATCTTAATCATTCTCAATCAGTTCATGACGCTTGTCCTGTACGAAATTACGTATTTCGTCAAGAGATATTGGTGTGGAAAAACTTAAAGCAAGAGGCGTCGCTGTTGCCACCTCGACAAGAGTACATCCTCATCAATTAGACCGAGCCGGCCCGGCTGCGGCAGCTCCATGGTGCGATAGTATACCACAGGGACGCGGGCAAAGACGTATGGGGCACCGCGTGAAAATTGATGAGGCGGAATTGTCTCCGAGTCTGGCAGGAAATGAACAACACCCGTCTCGCAAACTTCATCTACATCAACACTTGCGGAATTAATTAGTGGCCTATATCGATGTGTATTGACTTTGTACGTGGCCCCTTTGCATTGCCAGATCAGCTGCCAAACTGCACGTGAAATGTTGCAACACATTCGCGCTACTTACCGCTACAAATTTCAAAAAAGAAGAAAAGTGTGTTTCATTGATTAGATTAGATTTCGATCAAATAAATATATATGTATATATTTCTGTAAAATAAAGCAGCCATGCTGTTTAAAATGCTCGCTTTATATGTGAATAAAAACTAAAGAAATACGGTAGATTCAAGAAATCTGATTTAAGGACAACGATAGGAAGGAAATGATTAGGAACTTGGCCGAGTCAATTTCTTTCAATAATGCTAGGGTGGCACAGACACGGACGCTGACATCCGCGATCTCTTGAGACTTGACTTCGGCTTATAAATTGACTTTCTAAGCACATTCTGATAAAAAAAATCAGGATATACGGAGACGAATAACGATCACAGAAAAAGTCTGAACCCAATTATTGTTGGAGGGCATTTACCCCAACTGCCGCAATTCCACTGCCGTGACAAATTCTCCAAAGGTCTTGAAACAAACTTACAAATTGTTTGCAGAGGTGCTTGGTTTCTTGGACCCCCTTTCCGAGTTTCTATCAATTTTTGATCCTCCTGGAACTGTGTTTACACTTTGGCGAACTAATATTGACCAGGCTGACACTCTCTTCGGTTCCAGGTTATATTTCACTGGTATCTGGGCCGATTTTGACAACAAATCCTAATCACACCGGCTTAATCTTTCATCAGGGCTAAAGGGGGGGTGAAGGTGTAGTTACACTTTCGGGTCATTCTAGTAAAGTAAGCCAACATTTTTATCACAACTCGAAGGCCCAAGCGCCATTCCCGTTTATAAGTTCGTGTTGTGATTTGTTCAAGAACACCGAAGTTGCTTTAACTTTCCTTAGCACTCTAACAAGCTATAGCCAAAGATAATTCTCTCTTCTAAGTTGAAGCAGAATTAATCTTGTTACCCGAACAAAGGGGTAAATACATAATGTATGAATGAATAGCTTGATAGGAAAGATATGACAGGATAATAATTCTGTCCAAAAAAAAAAAAAACAGAGAAAGATGTTGCTGGGTTGAAAAGATGAAACACAAGGCCATCTTTTAACTAGGCAAGAACTATTTATACTATTTTACAACTGGATGCTTATTTGTATCGTCTGCAGACAGGAGAAGAGACACAATTTAAGGAAGAACTGGGGTCAAGGAATGAAGACTCACTAAAATCGGAGATGGAGGATGGTGTAACGAGTGTCCGTAATCTAACAAGCCATGAGGCATGACGGGAACGGGTAAACGGTAAGGTGCTCTGTCCCCAAACTTTACCCAAAAAATAACCACACAAAATTAATACGGACCATTCACAATAGTGCGCCACCATATGTTTGCAACACGTTAGCCAATCATAACGCGTAAAATTTGTCTACCCTTTCTAAACGCGCATTGGGTCTACAAATTTTATGCCTGTGATAGGCCAACGCATTGCAAACTCTTGGTGGCACACTATTGAGAAACGGCCATATTATTCCTTGTTGATGGATTGCAATGTGGGCAATGACGCCATCTTGAATTACATCTTGAAATGTGCCACTTGTACAAGTGCGGAAAATATCCATACACAAGCAAATTGTGGAGGGATATACTGGACAGTCGGGGTGAAAGAAAGTTTGCCTTAAATTTTCCGAATAAAATTTTTTAAAAACTCTACAGTAGTTTCTCACCTTCCACTGAATACAGATTTTGGCACGTGTATCTTCAATTCATGCTCAATAAAAAAATCCCAATCAAACACCATCGGAGCATCTAAACAGGCAAACTCAAGGGAGACATATGTGGTCTAAGTGAAATACACAAGTCAGGTCACCAGGCATGCATACTTAAAATTATGTCAACATATGAAACTAGGATAGGTTACAAAAGGCATTGCGCGTGTTCAAAAGAAAGCATTTTGATGCAAAGGGACCCGTACGGAAGCATTCTCCTGTCAAGGAAGAAGGGACGAAGTAAAAAAAACCTTGATAATGAAAATGGAGAAGTGTACACGTCAGCCAAAGAGACAAATGACGGAGGCTGGCATTCAGTCAGACGCACAGCGGATATTTCATCTATTGATTGTGATTCCAACAGACATTCAACAATATTACTTCTCGGCAAGGAAGCTAGAATGACAGTTATATCTCAGAACAAGGATTGAGAAGGAGGGGATGAGTGTGTTTAAGCGCAC